AGTCTACGATCCACCGTCATGATCTATGGTCCATGATCGCAGTCTACGATCCACCGTCATGATCTATGGTCCATGATCGCAGTCTACGATCCACCATCATGATCTATGGTCCATGATCACAGTCTACGATGTGGCCACAGCAGCGATCCTGGATCTACAAACGATAAAACACAAGGACTGCGGGTGTCATGTGTCCCCTGACATTCTAGACCAACAGCAGTATAAATAGGAGCTGGTTGAAGACAGACCTGAAACCAGCAACTATCAGCTTTATCAAAAAGGCAGGTTTTAGGCCTACTCTTAAACGTAGAGAGGGTGTCTGTCTCCCGAGCGAAGACTTGTAGCTCCAAAGCTTTACCTGACACCTCTTTTCACAAGTTGGATTATAAATTACCAGCAGGCCAACCAGAGGGCGGTTTTCTCTTCTCAGACTGATTGTGTTGAAGGCTTTTAAAGGCCTGCAGAAACTATTTTACCACAAAGATTGGGAGAAAAACAGAAAAATATAATTCATATTCCTGCAACACCTTCCACTGGGATGGATTTTATGTGGTGCTTTGGCAACTCACCAGGTCGAGCATACACGATTAAGTCCTTACTAAAGTGTCCCAGGTTTGAATTCAGTTTGTGCCCTTTGCTGCATGTTGTCCCCTGGACATCTATTTCTCTAACTTTCTTATATGTGCGTCTCTCTGTCGACCTTCCAATCACAATAAAGGCAAAGAAAACCCGTAAAAGAACAGAGAAAACAATTATACCAGTGACAGTTCTCAAAAGTATGGTATTAAAAGTGTTTGTGTATGTGTGCAGCCCACAAACAATTACAGAGAGCGCTCCCAGATGGTCAAACAGTAATTTACCCAACTGCTTTTGTAATGATGACAACGCTGTTTGTGTGTGTGCCTGCAGGCCACAGCGACTCTGCGTTGTTCCCCCACACTGTAACTCTCCAGCTAATAATATCACACATATTGCATTCATGTAATCTGTTAGCTGTGTTTTCCAAACTGCATTTCTTATGTGAGTGACGCAGACTTCAGTTGTGAATAGCAAATAGTGTAAATCCCCACATCTAACAAAAGTGGGATCTCTGTGCTAATCCCTAATCTCTCATGCTCCTCTTTTTGTGCATATAGAACGAGAGCACACACACCAGCAGACACACAATCGGTAGGTGTTGCCACAGCCTAATGTAATATGACAGGGCCTGACAGTGGTTTAATGTGGACACTGAGTGTGAATAACAGTTTCAATAAGGGGCCTGACGAAGTGAGGAGGAACAACATGAGAATGAGATGAGAGATAGAGTCAAGAGACAGAGAGGTGTAAAAGTCTGCCTCCAGAGATCAGTGATGGAGTGAAAGGACAATAAAATCATTTCAATGTGTTGATGGACAATCACGTGTTCGGAAACAGAACAGACAGAAGTGTGTGTGTGTGTGTGTGTGTGTGTGTGTGT